AAATTAAATAGAAATAAAATAAATATGCAAAATGTAAAAAGGGTTTTTATATGTATGGAAAAAGGTATTTTTTGTCAAATAAACAAAATAAAAAAGGGTATTATTTTTGGAGTTTTTTTATGTTTTGGGCAAAACCCTAATTTTATTAAGTAAAATGTATTAATTCCTCAATATGTACAAATTTATTTATTATATACAAAATAAAATAAAAATGAAGTATATTTATAAAAAAGTATTTTTGAGGTCAAATATTAATAAAAGAAAAAATGTATGTATTTTTGTTTTTTTTTCCTAAATATATTAATATATATATATGAATATCTTTATTATTTACTAAATATATTATATATACAAGAATAATAATATTTAATATTTATATAAAAAAGTATATTTTATATAAAATATTTTCATGAGATAAAAGAAAATAAAAATAAAAAATAAAATGTGTTTACATTATTTTTTAGTATTTTAAGTAAAAAGTGTTTATTCATTTATTTATGTACAACTATCAATATAAACAAATAAATGCCTAAAAAATATAAAAATGGTGTGAAAAATATTTTTTATGTTTTTAATATTATTAGCAAAAATAAGTAAGTCAGAATAAAAAAAGAAAAGTCAAAAAATCATTAAAACAAACAAAATGGGCTCAGGGGGTGTGAAAGCAAAAATAGTGTATAAAAAGCAATAGCAAATCAGGCCCAGCCCATGAAGACCTTCTTCAACCTCCAGACATCTCTTGTTCAAAAACGCGTGCTTGGTGTATGAATTTAAACATCCTGATTTCTTGAGTTTTTGCACAAACTTACAACACCAAAAATATTAAGCATTGAATCATGATTCTGAATATCTAAAGAACTCCTCCTAACTCTCAGAAATAAGAGAGAATTTTATCATTCCCAAATCCTAACCTAACTTTTTATCAATATTCAGACCTTAAATTCTCATAGCTCAGGCAAAATAAATGGAAAGTAAAAGTATGTACAGTTTCAGGGGCATGAGTAGAACACTTCTTATTCACAAACTTAGAGCTAATGATGTCTACATTGGGAGATAGAAGTTCAAGAAGATACATGTTCAGTTGAAGTTGTATCTGATGATGGAGGTACTTTCAGAGCAAGGTGATGATTGGTACAACTTCCTTGATGTCCAGGGATGCTATTCCAAGTTTTACTTTGCTTTGAAACTAGCTGAATCGAGTTGTAGAACTCCACCTGCAAATCAGAAAAATGAAAATGGCCAAACTGAATAGAGGAGTTACAGTCCACTTCTAATGCTTTGGATAGTTTGGATTGATGGTAGGGAAGGTGTTTGAACTGGTTTGGGCAAGAATGCACGATGGAAATGAGTTGTGGGATTCAATCTGCAGCAAGCCCTGTTTTTGTGCAGTTCAATGGTGATTTTGTGAATGGGAGTGTTTGGGACTTGGTTTGCTCGTGTTCTAGCTTGGGTTTGATGTTTTGAAAATGTTTGACAAGTTTGCTTAAGCTTGGTTTACAGGAAATGAGAGTTGGGAGTCGTTATGTCAAATTTCTTCACCCTTAAGCAAGAGATGGCCACTTGAGTTTCTAGGCTGATAGAGCCCCCCCTAATGTGATGCAAAACTTGGCATTGATCAGTGTAATTAGTCTAATAACTTGTGCCAAAGAGATTTGCACTGTCCTTGCTTGGATTGTATTTTGACATAAAGTGAAACTTTTCCAAAATGGATAAAATGCTTTATCTAAAAATGGATTAAACCACTATGCAATGCTTGAACACATAGAACATGGTCTTGGCACAATGAGTATGCATTAAATTATTGAGTGCAAATGGGATTAGAGGCCTGTAATGTAGCATAAACCAAGCTGACTTGAAAATGGCAATGTGTATGAACATGTCTTGGTCAAGAACAAAAGTGACTTTTGCCCAACTTGCCAAATTCGATTCTCTCTAACCATGAGGTTGTTTGATGAGTTCTTGGACATTTTGGAAATCTTGGAATGTGTACTACAATCCATATTTGAAATGAAAATTGAAATTCCAAGTGGAAGTATGTGAAAAATGGTCTTGAAGTTAGGTAAAAACCTTGCCTAAAATAGGTCAAATTTTCACTAAGTTAAGAATGGCTTGGTACCCTTGTTCCAAAAATTATAACTTGAGCTACAAGCTTCTTTTGGGAAAACTTTGTGAATCAAAGTTGTATATTATACAATAGGCTACAACTTTCATGTTTTGACTTTTGCTTGAATCCAAATGAATCTTGGTGAGAAAGTGGGGCAAAGTTAGGAAAAAATTAGGGTTTTTCATAACTTAGAAAAATTCTAAGTTATGAAAAATCTTCATTTCAAACCCTAATTTGCAATTCTTGATTTCTTGATGAACAAGTTTCATTATTTGGCATGTTTTGATGAAAAATGAATCTTGACACTTGATTTTGACCAAAAAGTCAAAGTTTGACTTTTCAGTATACAGTCAAAATTGATCAATTGACTGGGAAATTCAACTGTCAATCTTGTGTATTTGGGATCTTTTGAACTTGTTGAGCATGTCAAGACAATTCCATGGGGTCCTTGAGTCCATATATGAGCTTGGTTTGCCATTGGCTAGGTCAAACAGTCAAAAATTGCCTCTGTGCAGTCAAAACCCTAAAAATGACCATTTTGCCCTTTTGGGGATCTGATCAAATTTCTTGTGGAATTGTGATCCAAACTTGATCAAATGGTTCATATGAGTTCATAATGTTGATGTGGGTCAATTTTCATGAGATTTGACTGTCAATTGGCCACAATTGACTTTTTCCCCAATGCAGCTGATTTCTAGGTCAACTGTCCAATTGACTGGGCAGAACTTGGAATCAAGGCTTGAAACTTGATGTGGATAAACTTGGGAGTCCAATATGAAGCATGAAAGTCATCTTAGGCATTTTAGGTCAAAACATCTTTGTGCAAACACAAACCCTAATTTGGGTCAACAGTGCAAGGAGAAGTCTCGAGCAGATGAAACCCTAACTGGATCTTGATCTCCAAGGGCTTTGTGATGAGAAATGTTGAGAAAATGGGAGGGCAAATTTTGGGGTACAACACCATCCCCTTGAACCAATTCTATTGCTTTCCTCTTGGCTCTATATGCCTGGTCACAAGATAGTTTAACTCCCCACCTCTCAATAGCTTTAGCTATAAGGCCTGCAGGTTTCATCTGGGGATTATGTCTAAGAGTTGTGGAAAATATTTTGGCAAGCCACTTTGTCTTTACACTCCTGTTGGCACCAATCTTATGGCATGAATGTTCATCAATCAAACTCACAACTTGCCAAAAATGGTGACCAATTCTCTTATTAAACCTCATGTAGAACTTACAACATTAGTGCATTTCACCACAACCCTTTTGGAATCATTTTTCAGATTGTATATATTCTTTTGATTTTTCATACCATAGTCTTTCACTGCATCCTTAATCACGTCTTTGTTAATAAACATCACACCTATTTGAAATTTCACCCCCTCACCTGATTTATAAGTAGGATACTTCATCCCCATCCTCATCCTCCTCACCATTCCAAGGGTGTGTGTACAATTGGTCTGAATCCTCACTTTCCTCATGTACCATCTCAGTCTAACCTTTCAGGTTTTGGGAGCTAGAAACTTCACCTAATGTCTCTTGGGGAAGAACCTTTGTCCAATTCATCTCACTCACATCAGATTCTTCACTAAATTGGAACTTACTATCCTCAAAACTACTCTCATTTGCAACATAATCCTCGTCAATGTTATCTTCTTCAACATCATTACCTACTACAGCCTCAACATTCTCAGCAATGTTAGCATCATCAATGTTATCTTCTTCGACACCATTATCTACTCCAACCTCAGTGTTAGCATCATCACTATTTGCATTTTTGAAACCAGTGCATTGCACATCATCATTATCCTCAATGATAACATCTAACCCACTCTCATCAATAATTTTAGGAATTTCCACTTGATGCTCCACATATATGTCAAATACATCGTATCCTACCACATCTTTTGAGAATTGCAGAACATTTGAACTATTGTTCAATGGTGTAAGACCATGGGCGAAACTATATGTAGAGTTTCAATACCACACACACTTAATATTTGCATAACCCCCACTCTTAATCATACCTTCAATTTCCATGTATGACATGTAGTCTACATCCCAAGTCCATTCCATCTCAGTAACTTGTCCATTGACATACCACTTAACAGGTTGATGAACTAGTTTTCTCCTATGGTGCATCCTCAACCTAACTTCAATTGTCTTAGCAGGCCTGATAAATATTCAACAAAAAGAAATTCAAATTCCTGCAAACAACACAAAGAAACATAAACAAACACACAAGACCACATCAATGCATAAACAATACTTTATCAGTCGGGACCACAAACAAATAAATACACCAAACACAAAAGGGGACCACTGGTAATAACAAAGGAGACATAAATACATACCTCACACAATACTTAACATTATCGATCGTCATTTTCGTTAGATCACATTTCAGTTTGCAAAGAAAACTTATGAACTTGAGGATGAAAGTGAGTGGAAACGAAAATTAAGGCACATGGGTGAATGAAATGGGATTATGATTTTTTTATAAAGAACCTGAAACGATTTTAATTTTAATTTCAATTAAAATAATGTTTTCAATTAATAACATGATTTTAATTAAACTATTGAAATAATTTATAAAATATACGATAATGATGACATGGATTGAGTGTTATAATGTCACCTCATTAAAATATATGACAGATCATCTAAAATAGGTCGAAGAGACAAATTCAATAATTTTTCAATAGAAGGAGTACATCTTTAAAAACTCCAAACTAGAAAACCCAAGGATGAAATTGAATTTTTCACTAATAAAAAAAGACGAGAAACAAAGGATGGGATTTGAAGTTGTAAATTAAGCAAGCAAAGCCAAAACCACCTTCAAAAAAACCCACCCAATTTCAAAATCCTCACTCACCAAAAACCTAGAAACAACAACAACCATGTCTCCAACACCATCAAAACCAGAGATTCTCTTAAACAACAGGTTCCTAAGCTACCTCATATGGCAATCAATACCCTCCACTCTCATCTTCATCTTCTCCTTTTTCCTTCTCCCCCAAACCCCTTTTTGGTCTTTCCTCCCTTTCCTCACTTTCCAGTTCCTCTTCTCCGTTTCCCTATCCTTCGTCTCTTCACCTTCCTCCCACCCCATTTTTCTCAACTTCAAGCTCTCACTCACTTTCCTTCTCTTCATCACCGCCTCAGCCTTTTCCGGTTCCGTTGCGGCGCTTTCTTTATCCGGATTTAACGATTCTGGAAGAGTTGGGTTAAGGGGTTTCCTTGTTGGTTTGATTTTTGGGTTTCATTATGTTTTTAAGCGTCGTTGGGTTTTGGAGTTTCCCATTATTCAGGTTAAGCTTTTGAATCAAATGGGTTTCATAAAGTTTTCATTTTCTCTTTTGGGTTTGTTTAATTTTTATTGTTTGCAGAAACTGATTTTGCTTACTTTGTTTCTTTGTTTCTTTGTTTGTGTGCAGCGTCCTCCTTTCTTCAACTTCAAGATGGGGATTCCTTTGGCTGCTAAACGTGCTTTTAAGCTTTCCACTGTTGCTTTCATTTTTTCTGCTGTTTTGTTAGAGATTATTCCTCACCCTTTTAAGTGCAGCATTGCTACACAGAAATTCTTCGGTGAACAGATTGTGTTCTTTGTTGGTAGTTTTGCTATCTTTTTCTGCTGGGAGTTGACTCATAATTTACATCGGGTTAGTGTTCCCTATCGATAAACTCGTTTAATTATTGATTCGTGTTTTCATTCGGCTTCAATGTTGTTAAATGTTCCAATGATGTGCTCTTTTATAGATGTTTGTGTGTTTGTAAATCTCTAAGTGAAATGGCATTGTAATATCACTATATGTTTTTTTTAATCAAGTGCACTGTTTTCTCTCAAACTAATGAACCTTACGTACTAAGGGTGTTTAAGAGTGCTACAATCAAGTCCAAGTTTGTTGTGTTTTTCATTACTCATTCATTCGCGTAGTACATTAAACAAACTAATGATCCTTACGTACTACGGATGTCTGAGAGTGCTATGATCAGAGAAAGATTGTCTTTGTCACCGGCATGGTCAAGATCGAGCTTTTTGAAGCAAGATCATAAAAGAAAACATGATGGGTCTGTAATATGATTTTCATGTTTTTGTGTGTGTGTATAATATCTATGAAATCAACTTTTCCCGTTGGTCGGATCTTACGTGCCATGTTAATGATCCGAGTTTTACGATCTTTCACAAGCCGACTGTTCCTACTTAAGATCTCGTGCTTGACTACATTGACCTTAAAAATGCACAGTGAACCCTTTTTTTATGTGTTTACAATCTACAGTCAATAGAAGGCAATATTCTTATATATTAACTTGTGTCTCTATCTATGCCAAATATGATGTTACATAGGTTTTACATACTAAAAGATCCGTATTTGCGCCCCCAAAAGGATCAGCAGCTGCAGAAACAAATCCAAGCGAGCATCTCCTTTCAGCCTTGGAGGAGAGTAATCCAAAATCTCTTCTTCGATATCTTGCTTACCTTGATCTTTGTATGGTTTGTGAGAACAATGTTGACACTTGGCGTCGTGCGGCATTTTTCGAAGAATCCGGCGAAACTTACAAGAGAGTAATTGCTGTGTGCTTGAGGCCTCTGGAGCAACTTGCCTCAAGATTAGGTGAGAGCATGAGTGATTCTACTGACAAACCTACTCAACTATCTGATCAATTATCCTCCCCAACAGACGTGAAGCACGTAGAAGAACTGTATAACTTCCAGGTACATGTATAACTCTATTATTTGTAGATTGTTTATTTTCTACCGACACGCTTTTCTTTTTTCTGTATAACTGGAAGTGATATCCCGTTTTAATATGATATTTTTAAATTTTATCTTAACTTTGTGGAGCCAAAATATTCTGAGTAGATGATAGAGAAATATGCAACGTTCTTAAAAAGAAACAGAATGCACATAGAAATCAGAATCTTTAAAGACTCAACACTATATAAAATTCTATTTGCTGTACAATGGTACCATGGGAATGTATAGTTTGGCGATGTTCTTGTATTAATAGTTGTAACACTCGATCATTTGACACCTTGAAACCGTATCCTGTTTTTATTTTAACCCAAAATTCCTGTGGAAACAAGGTCTCAGAACTTTTAAAGAAGTGAGAGCAGGAATCTTATGTCCTCACCGAGGTTTGAAAATTTTCACATGGTTGAAATATTAGGGATTTGATGAAGTCATGAAAAGGATTAAGGATATAATATATTTAAGTAATAAAACTCTAGTTAACCAAATACTCCTGTACTGTGCTGATGTGTTCAGTAAATTATCAAGGATCCAAGGATAGCTCGGCAGATTGGGTTTATGGATAAGGAGGTCAAGGATCCAATCCCCACCCTCAGCATAACTACTAAGGGAGTTTGTTTCCACGTTAATTTCATTAAGCTCACGTCTTCAGTGTCATTTTTGTAAATTGCTTTTGCTACCAACGTGAAAGCTACATATAGTAGCTTCTTCAAGTCAAATCCGTGTCCAGATTGGAAGAGCGAAAAGTGATTCTAGAGGTGGAGAATTGATTTTGCCTTCAAAATTAATTCTACTTGAAGTTACGATTTGTAATTTGAGTCTAAACATGATTTTAATTTCCGTTACCGCAGAAGCAAACACATGTTAACAATACTAACATTTGGTTGTTAAGAAAAAAAAGTACAATCCACCTATGTAACAATCCTAGACAATAATAATCTAATTTCCTACAATATATTGAACTTTCTGTGTTACACTCATAGAAAATATAAACTTGCCCCTACATGTCAATAAGCTTTTTTCAGCTTATTTGAATAAGTTTTTTTAGGATACCTTTAATGAAAACAGCTTATAACTTATATGAAAAAGTTTAACTTCATTTTATCTTATAAAAATAGCTTATACGTAAATATTTTAACGACGAATATTATTCTATAAGTGCTTAATTAAGTTGCTTATCCAAATATGACGTTTGTATGCCAACTATTATTAAGCTTTTGTTTTCTTTTACATGCAGCTATATGCTTGGTGCTCAAGGATTGTTGCCTCACTGACTGCCTCTTCACGCAAAGAGGATAAGTTTGGGGCTGCTCAGCTTTCTGGGAGTAATGCTGCTGTGGTTTCGACGCTGATATCATGCCTTCTTGCTGTTGAGAATTTCATGGGAAAGAAAACAAACCTGCAATCACCAAATCAATTGTTGGGATCTTCGGGTATCAAATGGGCGACAGCTAATAGTGGAAGATTAGATATTGCAGCTGCTTCTAGTAAAAGGAAAAATGGGCCAGCAATTTCAAAAGCTTATGCTATTGCTGATGTTCTCAAGACATCAATCTACCAAATAGTATCTTCATTTCATGATGAGATGTTGGCTGGTACTAAAACAAGTCTTCTGGAGAAGGACTGGATCACAAGCAAGAAACCACTTTTCGGTACTCGTGAGATGCTAATACAGAAGTTACGCCTTTTCCTTGATTTCCGGGCTACCTAAATTCTGCATTCTGGTGAGGTTTGGATGCTACTTAACTGGATTAAACATGATTGTAAGAGGCTATACGAATAGGATGTTATCAAATAGAGCTACATAGATATGATGGATGGAAAGAAAAGTTCTCAATTTTTGTCAGATATTTGAGATGGATATTAATCTGTAGTGATTATGTTGAACATACTTGCATTAACAGATGAGTTATCGATTGGATTTGCCCTTTCTCGATGATTTTGAAGTGCTTCTTTGAAAGGAGTTTTTTTTCCAAGATAGAATTGTCTGTGTGCTTTATATGATCCATTGATATGGATAACTTGATTTACACATGTCTTTACAAAATTGGAATATGAGTTTTGGATTACCTAGGCTTTTGTAATTGTGTAACCTTTAACTCACTTTTAATCATAATTAATTTTATTAATTAAGAATAAAATTAGTAAAAATTAATTAATGTTGCATTAGAAAAATAAAACTAACATTTATTTTAGAACAAAGTTTTTGGACTAACACTTATTTTGAAATAGTGGGAGTATAATAGTGACCCGCCAACGACATGTCAAGCATTGGGTCTATTTTCAATGGTTTGTGAAGAATGTGATCGATCAACCTAACCCTTGAGGTAAATATATATAGCTTTATGTGATCTAGAGGAGTGTGCCAAATCTTTGGTCCATTTCCTCAGCCTTGAATGACTAATCAACAATAGTATCATATTCTAGGGTACCCTTTACTGGTACGATTATGGTAGGTGCAATCCAAGATAAAAATTCATAGAAGTTTGATGTCATCAAAGCTCACCTCATCTATTTCTTGGTAAGACTCAAAAAACACTTTTTAATTTTTAGTTTTTCAGTTCACATTAATAAAAAAAAAATATTTAATAATTAACTTTTTTTGTTGTTAATTTTTAGCTTTTTTTTTTAAAAAGTTATTTAAAGTAGTTTTTGAGCTTGTAATTTATGATTTTTTCTTCTATTTATACTCTTATTATTTTAATAAAATTATATTATTATTTTTATTAATTAAAATGTCCTTTTATATTTTTTTAATGTCATTTTATATCTATCAGCTAATAAAATAACTAATTTATCAAACACTTATTAGTTACTAGTTACCAATCATAAACTATCATCTACCATCTATCAGCTATAATTACCAATTAATTTTACTAAACAAAATCTTAATCTCTTAAATCAAGAGGATTTTCTTACTTAAAAACGTTAATTGACAAGTGTCTTTTCTCCATTTTTAGTTTCTTCCTTATATATATCTAAAGTTTTCAATTAACTTTTATGAATTAAAGTCAAACTCTTATACATTACATCTTCTATGAATTGTTTTTTCAACAACCAAACTTAACTTTTATGCTATTTAAAAAAATGATCGTCTTTTAAATATAAATAAAATTTTAATATTTAAAAAATAAATTGTATAAAATAATAAAATAATATTTATCATTAATATATTTTTAATTTTTGAAATATTATAACAATATAAATTATATTTAAATAATTTGTCAAAATTCTCCAAAACTCTTCAAATCTTTCATTCAATACAATTTTTTAATTTCTTAAATGAGGAAAATTTTAGTTTTTAAATAAAAATAAATCTTACAAAACTCTCTCAACTTAAATTCTTCTATTCTTTTCACTATATTTTTTTTCCAAAGCTTTTACTTTCATTTTCCTCCAAATTTTCAAATTAAACGTTAGAGTATCCGAACAAAATATATTTTTATGTTTTTGAATCATTATTTGTTAAGATATTCTTTGGTATTTAGCACAAAATACATGATGAAGTATTTTATTAAATATTTAAATTAATTATTATATTTTAATATTATTATGTGAACATATTTATTTGTTTAATTTTATTAACTATTTATGAATTAGAGGTCTTAATTTATCAATGATTAAATTAAGTAATAAGGTTAATTAATTTTTTAATTGAATAGTAAATTATATATTTAATTAATTGATATGGATAGTATATGCGAGAGAATCGAATATCAACCTCGTGACGAAAAAAACTAGATGGTTTATATTTGGTTAGGAAGATTATAACTACAATAGAAATTCTTTAAATTAATACTCGGTAAATTAATAAATTCTCTAAAATAATAAATTTGTCCGGTCCCGACTTGGACCAATGTAAAAAATTGAAAAACTCGATAAAATAATAAGATAATAATTTTTCGGGAGATTCCTTGATAATTTTCTATCTCAAGAAAATCATAAATTAATAATTCATAGAAACTGAAAAAAATATATTACACTCTATTGAAATATGATTCAATAGTTGTCTGTTTTCCTTTAAAGTTCAAGTCTATTTGGAGCTCATCTCTAACTTTTCTCATTGTATCCAATAGCTCAGGTGTTGTATTTTTATATTGTATCATAAAGTTGTAAAGAGTGTTCGACGCCATAAGTGCTTCCTTTCGCGTAATAGGCTCCAAAGACACTGTATCATCTTCGTCGTCATCCTCTGCACTGTTCTCAATGATAGTACCCACAATATCTTCTAAACTCTGAACCTCCGAACATCTTCATTTTCACCTGGGTAGTTCATTAGATTGCCGATATCTATCTTATTACGATAGTCACATGATTGATCATAGTCTCGAGGTCTTGAACTTCTTCATCAAAAGTGGATTCATCCAAATTTCTTACAACATCACCAGCTGATCGAATTTTACAGTGTCGGAAGCAATTCGCTATTGTTTCTTTTCGAACATCTATCGTCCAAGCTGTGATTGCCAAATTGATAGCATCAGGAACATTTATCTTTCCTGGATCAGATTTTTCCACCTCATAACCTTCCAATATTTTGCGGTAAAACCTTCTACGGTAATGCATCTTGAAAGCTCTTATTATCCCAGCATCGCAAGGTTGAATCTTTGATGTCATGTTGGGTGGCAAGAAGAACAACTCAACGTTTCTTAGCTCTTCAATATTTCTTGGATGTGCTGGACAATTATCCACCACAAGTAGAACTCTTCTACCATGCATCATTTGGTCAAATGAACGAACATATTCATAAAAAAAAACGCACTAGTCATCCATGCTTTTTTGTTAGCTCGATATTGACAGTCTAAGCTATTCATGTTGACATTCTTGAAGCAACGAGGCTTTGCATATTTCCCAATAATCCATAAAAGAGATTTTTTCAGAGCCATCTTCATTGCAACAAATAACTACCGTCAACCTTTCTTTATCTTGTTTTCTTCCTTCAAGTTGTTTTGTTGCTAGTGAATGATCAGCTTATAGCCTATAAGACAACCCCGTTTCATCCATATTGAAAACATCTTTCATAGGGAACTGGTCAATTTTCTCCCGAACCAATACCAATTTCTGCTCCATGTCTTATACATTAACATACCCACTCTCGCCAAAATGACGAAATGACTTTATGTCATGTCGGTGCTTGAATTTCCCAAGCCATCCTATAGAGAAGTTAAAATCTGAATCATCATACACAACTCAAACAACTTGGATGTATTTCATAACTGATACCCACATGAATATTAAGCTTAAATCTATCTCTAGAACTAGAACCTAGTAGATATTAATTTAAAAAAGAGATTTGGAAAGCATATGTCTACGACAAGCCAAAACTCCGCGATAAAGCAAACATCAAGAACAAACACCGGTATTAATTTGTAAAATAGATTTCATATAATTCCATGATCAACAAATGTACATATAATAATAGTAAACATATACACACAAAACCCACCATTGGATTGAAACATAGGGAAGAATGAGATGAATAGGAAACTTCTCGTGGTGTCAATGGGATCCGCGTTAACCCATAGCCAATCGACAAGATGTAGCACCCAATGGTGTTGCTTGAACCTTTAAACTATAAAGGATTTGACCAGAGCTCACCCATGGACGTGGGAGATGATAAAAACCTAAAAAAACATGTTATGAGCTATTTATACACAAATTGAAAAATCGTAGACCGCGCTCAACGCCAAAATTCGTGCTAAGTGCACTGTCATTTATTGGACCAAACCACTTTATGCTGATGAGCATATTACGAGCGCATTGAGCGCAGTCATAGCATGCTATCGCACTGAGCACGGTCATAGCATGCTGAGCATGCTACGAGCGTGTTAAGCATGCTCACCTCTGCCAAAATCTGATTTTCAACTCCTAAGGCGCGCTAAGCGCCCACAGAGCAGGCTAAGCGCGACCTGATAACCTTATTTTCCTCCAAAATTTGCATCTTGAAGCTTTATTCGATCCCGAATGCCCCGAGCTTCAACCATGTGATAAATCCTACAAAAAATAGAACAAAATTATCAAACGATACAATATTTACACGAAAACTCGATTAAACACAATTTATACATATTTACTAACTAAGCGAGAAATTATCCAAAGAATATCAACAAAAGAAATGATAAGTGCCACAAATTACATACACAAAATACATACATTTTTACACTTATTAACTCTCCCCAACTTGAACTTGTTTGTCCTCGAATAAGGCCAAACAACTCAAGAACAAAAGTAACTAACCAAAGAATCATGAATCAACAAGTTTGAAAAATGAAACAAATGTATGGTTCAAACAAAAAACACACATGCAAGGAAAAACTTACCACAATCCTACAATGACAACATATAAACGAAACAATTCCTAAGTACAAAAATCATACTAAACATTCTAAAATAAAATAAGCTTAACCATTCAAAAAGAAAAACCAAACACTCATAGACAAGCATTAAGTTAAAAACAACATGGACATTAACAAAAAGGCTCAACGAGGTTAACAAAAATTCACACACTCACAAGGTGAATTTACTATTTGGCTAAGTAGGTGTGCTCAAAATCGAACAAAATACCTTGATCATTTTCATGATTTTATACAATCAACACAAACAAAAGATTAAACATAATGAAATCCAGTTAAAACAAGAATTGTGGCCTCCAACATATATGAACAATGGAAAACTTCCATACATTTGGGGCAAAAAGGGAACTAATAAAGCGATTCAATCTAAAAGAAAGTAATGCAAAAAAAGAAAGAAAGAATGGTATAGTGATTATACAAATGAAAAGTTTTCTAAACATGTTATGCTATAGAAAGTGATAAACAAGCACCTGGCGTGTACCAACTTCAAAACTATCATTACCATAACAAGTTGAATCAATCAAAATAGAAAAAATCACCTCGAAATTCTTCAAGTTACCAGACCAAAATTGGAGTCCAACGAACAACACAAATTATTATAAAAATAGTACTAATGTTATTTACTACTACAAAGCCTTGGTGAAAGTGAGAAAAAGAACAATCAAGTGAAATAAAAAGAGTCACTAGTGCATCACAGTAGAGCGCGCTACACCAGTAGCAGAAAAACAGGACAACAACAACATACATTTCAAATGCAACCTCCACAATCACCCACACTATCTCAATTACACAACTACACAAAGTTTACACATACAAATTTCCTTAAGCTAATAAAAAACAAGCTTTTGGAAAACAGAATTAACACAACAAAAAATACTATTTACATACTACAAAACCAAATGAAAATGAATAAACAAGTTTAAAAGTGAAGATTTGAGAGTTTTAAGAACCAGTCCGATTTCAACTTGTTTAAACAACACTCACCACACTACCTAAACTACTATAATGAAAACAATAAAAACATGCTTATTTCACATCGTAAGCTCGACACCTGTTATTTACAGTCATTTCACATTGCTTTGGATGAGCCAAATACTTTCACTCCCGTCTTTGCTTAAATCTCTTCAAGCTCTAACCGGAACTATACACCTAACCACACTTTTTGCAAACGTGAAACAAAATAAGTATACTATATACAAATGTACAAATAAGTAAATGTACAAAATAGACAAGTATGGAGAAAACGTACAAATATACAATATAGACATATTTATGAAACTTAGAAAACAAACTATCGCGATGTAGTCAATATCAACATCAATCCCCGACAACGGTGCCATTTTGTTGAAGCGGTAAAGAGGAAAGCAAATGTAAGTATTTTTATAGGGTATATCATATCGTCTCCACAAGGATTAGTGCGAGGGAAAAACTACCATTCAACAGTTTCAATCTCTCTAAGTTTGAATTTGGGTTTTCAAAAGGTAAAATGCGGGAAAAGTAAATAAAGCAATAAAGAAAGCGATAAACAATCATCTCTAGGCTAAGATAATTCATTCTGAAATTGCATTTCATTCTACCCGTCAAATATTTAAACTTGTAGATTAATTGCACTCAACCTACAATACGCGTCAAAACCATCACATATCACTCATACTAAGGCTATTTCTAACACAAAATGATACATAACTTGTATTGCTCTCGGAGGCAATTTCGCACGCAACTCAAATAACCCGAATGCATTTCATAACTGATACCCACATGAATATTAAACCTAAATCTATTTCTAGAACTAGAACCTAATAGATATTCATCCAAGAAAGAGATTCAGAAAGCATATGTCTACGACAAACCAAAACTCAACGATAAAGTAAAAATCAAGAACAAACACCAGTATTAATTCGTAAAATAGATTTCATACAATCTCATGATCAACAAATGTACATATAATAAGAGTAAAGATCTACATACAAAATCCATCATTAGAATGAAACATAGGAAAGAAGGAGATGAATATGAACCTTCTCACGGTGTCAATGCGACCCGCACCAACCCATAGCCAATCGACAAGATGTAGAATTCAATGGTGTTGCTTGAACCTCTAAACTATAAAGAATTGGACCAAAGTTTCCCCATGGAGGTGGGAGATGATAAAAATCTAAAAAAAATATTTTGAGCTATTTATACACAAACTAAAAATCGTAGACCGCGCTCAGCGCCAAAATCCGTGTTAAGGGCGCTGTCACTTATTGGACCAAACCACCTTATGCTGATGAGCATGCTACAAGCGCGCTAAGCGTGCTCACCTCTGCCAAAATCTGATTTTTTTTTCAACTCTCAGGGCGCGCTAAGCGCCCACAGAGCATGCTAAGTGCGACCTGGGAACCTTGTTTTCCTCCAAAACTCGCATCTTGAAGCTTTATTCGATCCCGACTGCCATGAGCTTCAAACATGCGATAAACCCTACAAAAATGGGACAAAACTATCAAACGATACAATATTTACATGAAAACTCAATTAAACATAATTTATACATATTTACTAACTAAGCGGAGAATTATTCAAAGAATATTAACAAATGAAGCAATAAGTGCCACACATTACATACACAAAATACTGACATTTTGGCACTTATCAATTATACATGCAAAAAAATACAATGAGGATAGCCATGTGTGTTCTAGGGATGTATGTGGTGTATATGGTGTTTTGACAGTATTTAGGGCTTGCTCACGCAAAGTGGTGAGAACCTCTGTATATGTGTTTCTCTGGGTGAAATGATTTGATCTATTTCTTAATCCTAAGACTTTGATATCTATAGAGACTCCTTCAACCTAGGCCAAAGAACTAAAGAGTGGACTATTTCGACTCCATGACCAAGAAACATGGAGATAGTGGCTTTCACCTCCCTTGAATCGTGGAGGAATGATTTCCCTTTTGACCAGTAATTGTGTGGACACATCACTCTCCATATTTTAATAAGCGGGTGAAAGACAAGCCGACCTAGTCCAATGTAAGCGAACAAGGTCGTCTCAAGTTTTTGGAGTCCCTGTGTAGACTAGTCACAATTTAGCAAGGACAAAATAATTAGAGACTATGTATAATCACGATTTAAGTTGAAAAATATTTTATAAAACCCTATTAAACTATAAATTAATCTTGAAAATTTTGAGTCTCTGTGCGGTAGACCGCCTTGCACGGCCTCAAAGACGGTTCTTTAAATAAATTATTATAAACAGTAGACAGTTAAAGACACAACTCTTGTGCTCGCCCAATATCAATATATTTGACATGCCTTGTTTCCTTTTGGATTATCTTCTCTTAAATCTAATAAAATTATTTCAATACACACTCAAATCTCGCTATAGACATTATTTATCAAATCTTTTGTTTGTTTTATTCGCCTCTTGACGACGTTCGTTATTAATGTCACATGTTATATTAAAATACTAATTTTAGGATTGACCAAATTAGTAAAATGTCATATGTTCTCAAATTTTTGCCAATAATAACACAAATATGTACAATTTAATCATGCAAATATTCTAACTCCACGTGAAAATAACGTCATGTAGACATTTGGCTGACAATAATCATAGAGATAATAACGATGATATGTGAAATTTCAAATATAAATTTGTATTTATTGATTTTGGATAAATTTGATCGTTATATATATTTTACCATAGAAGTTTCAATCTAATATAATCATAACATCTTATTATGAAGACAACGACCTCTCAACAACAACATTGATAAAGCCATGTCCTTGTCAATGACAACTAAATTCACTTGGCAAGGAAGCACTTGTTACTAAAATATCTAATTAATTTTCATAAAATATTTTTTATAAGTTTATAATCATACAAACATACATATTTCTCACGTGATTACTCTAAAATGTAAAAAACTTATATACTCAAAGTTTCGATCTCTTATTTTTACATATAGGATAAAAAAACTCAAATAAAAGATATAATAAAAACTCACTTAAAATGTTTATATTTTTTTACATATGTTCTTCAATAGAAAAAATACATTAATATGTCTATATATTGTTAATTCAGCCAATAACATTTTACAAAATGATACTGTACTTCACATCAAAAAAATCATTATTAATATTTTAATGATTAAATAATAATTTCATTTTTTACACGTAATAAATATTTTATAAAATTTTATTTAAATATGATTTAACCTGATTTCTCTTTACTTATCAAAGAATATCTTTGATTTTATTACATAATTTTTATTAGAATAAATCTGTAAATATATATATATTTTAATATAAAAACTTTATAATAATTAACAATATAATTAGGTTTTTTTGTGACAATTATTTGTGTTGTCGGTTTATAATTATTAAACTGTTGATAACAATCTTAATAACTTAATCATCTTCAAGTTGTTAAACCAACCATATCTATCTATATTAACAAATAATTAGCATATTCTCTTGCAAGCAAACCCCCTATCCAACCAACAGCTCACAAGTCTTGAGCCATTAAACACCATTGGATTGATAGACTTTGAACTCTAATCAACGGCCAATATTAGTTATTCGTCATGAGTATCACATCACTCTGAACTTGGGAGGCTAAGTAATGTCCTATTTGGTACATTCATCCTCCTAGCATTGAAAACGAAACTAATAAACACAAACAAAGCAACCACAATAAAGTATCTTAATTAACACTAACCCACCACTAAAACGAGTATCCTCCAATGAATTTCTTCCACGTGTCTATATTAAATACTAAGCAAAAGCAACATGGCTTGTGATGGCCATGTGTGGCTTCTTCTATATGGTTCCTTCAACTGTCGGCAAACTTTGATGTCAATGCAACACAAGCCAACTTGTAAGTACACGTGGCACATTCTCATTCCTCCACAAGATTCTCCAATCAAACCCCGCATAACTGAGTTGTATTTGATGTTTTTGCAAGGACCATAAAAGTCTTTAAATAGAATTTTAATTTGAAAATGTTTGTTTGGGGGAGAGAACAGAGTTCAAAATGATGAAGAAGAGACTGAATGTGTACGATGGAAGCAGTAGTAGAAGAGAAACGACGTCGTCTGAGATGAAAGAAGAAAAATCCGAATGGGAAATGCGACCCGGGGGAATGTTAGTACAAAAACGAATCGGAAAACCGGAAGCTCCGGTAGCCAATTTGCGCCTCCGAATCGGCTACGGTGCACTCCGTCACGATATCTACGTGAGTTCGACGGCAACATTCGGGGAAGTGAAGAAGCTAATGAGCGATGAAACAGGATTGAAAGTAGAAGAACAGAGATTGATATACAGAGGAAAAGAGCGAGAAAATGGAGAGTATTTGGATGTGTGTGGAGTGAAAGATAAATCGAAGCTGGTGTTGATTCAAGATGCTTCTAGTATTGAGCGACGGTTCATTCAGATGCGGATTAATGCTAAGATCCAAACTGCAAATCGCGCGATCAACAATGTGTGTCTCGAGCTTGATCAGCTAGAAGAGCAGGTCTCTGTAATTGAAAAATCGATTTCCAATGCTGTCAAAGTACCGGATGTTCAGATTGTAACGTTGATTGAGATGCTTATGAGACAAGCAATTAAGTTGGAAAGTATTTCGGCACAAGGAGATGCCTCTACACAGAAAATTTTACAGGTATGGTAAAACACTATTTAAGATCGACTCTTCTAAAAAATATTTATTTAATTATTATCCGTGTTGCCGTGTCCGTATCGATGACATTTTGGTTTGTTAGTTAGTACTACGAAGTTTATAACAAGGTAATTTTAAAATGTTAATGATTGGTTTTACACAGGGAAAGAGAGTGCAGAAGTGTGTTGAAACTCTGGATATGCTAAAGACGTCTAATGCAACAGTGAAGCCTGTTGTTGTTACAACCAAGTGGGAGATTATCGATCATTCTCCCTCTACTACCAATTGGGAATTATTTGATTGAATTTTCTTATCCTCTTTTTTTAGTTTTCTATTACTCCAATATTGCTGGTGTATAGTACTTCAAACCCTGTTATTTCTGAAATCTGCAAATGTTTGTTATTTTTATTTTATTTTCGTAAAAACCATATGCGGATGTTTTTCAATTTGAATTGAAAAAGAAGTTGGAAGTGCTAGTATATTTCATCTAAATTAATGTTCATATAGTATAATACTGCTGTAACTCTTTTTTTTAAAGAAAGAGGATCAAAGTTAGAAAAAAAATCCAAACATAAATTAGTTTAAGGGTGACAATTTCTATCAAATCAAACACACGAATATCAGAAATGTCATACTAATATTGACATGTCAACACCGTAATAATTTTAAAAAAGAAATAATAGAATTATGATCACAATCAATGTTTGCGAGAGTATCAACACAGACATTTGTTTCACGGTATGAATGACAAATTTGATTTTAAAGATATGTGATTTGTTGAATTAATCTCCAACGTGCAACACTACTCAGACTTCCTTATCTCAATGTATACAATAGCCTTTTTAGTCCTCATAAAGCTCAAATTTTGAATATCCGTGAGTTTGCGCAAGACTTAACCCCTTCATTTGTTATTGGAACAATTTTCGTCGACTTTGCATTTGAATTTTGTCAAAATCCCTTTCGGAGAAATTATCAAGACCCCAACGCCAATCCCATTTTTGTGATTTGACCCATAGAAGTATAACTTCCAAGGATTTATATCCACTAAATTTATGGATGGTTCGACTATAGCGTGATCTACAATAAAATTCGCTAAAATTTGTCCTTTCATAACCCTTAAAGGCGCACATGTTAAAGAAAATTCAGTCAATGCAAGTGCCTATTTTCCAATTCGACTACGCAAAATTGGTTTAGATAGCATATGCTTAATAACATCAAAATGAGACGAAACATAAACATCAATTGACTTAATATATTGCTTTAACTTTGTACAAGAGAAATACAAGCATATGCACAATTTTTCTATTATATTGTACCTAGTTTCGACATCAATTAGTACTCGACTGAGATGATAAATAGGCTTTTCGACACCATTATCGTCCTCTTGAGCTAACATACTTCCTATTATCGAGTCTGATGCAGCTATATACAATTTCATATTTTTATTTCTACTTGGAAAGAGTAAAATTGGAGACTTTGTCAAATAGTCTTTAATTGCGTCAAAGGTCTCCTAATGCTCGGGTCCCCCATGGAAATCCTGCCAAGTTTTCTTTCGATATTCATTCATGTAAATTACCGATATTTATGCTAACTAAAAGAAGGATCGAGGCAAACCTTAAAAAATGCCTGATTATCATCAACATGAGAATCCCTTCTAACATCAAGGTGGCTCAACAACTAACTTGGTGTTTAGTCTCCCTAGCTCGTTTTCTTTCATGTGCAAGTGACAAACTATTCCACTTCTTTACTATTTTGAAAAAGAAAGAGAAGTTTGAATGAACAAACGAGTGCCATGAGGCGTTCACGAAGCTGAAGGTTTTTCTGGAGACACCATCCATACTAACACGCCTAGTATTGGACACACCTCTCTATTTGTACCTATCAATAACCGATTAAGAGATGAGTCATGTGCTCGTCCAAGAGAAGGGCAAGACTAAACAATTAGTTTATTTTGTGAGCAAGTTATTCAAAGTATAAGAGAAATTTGATTTGATAGCTCCATAATCGTCTCGAGTCTTGTGTACTTGAAATGGAGGAATCTCATTCTCAAGTCAAGTGGCAGCAAGTAGAATATTCAATGGTCTAGTACGGTGACAATCAGCATTAAAAGAACGATCCACACAGTAAATTAAGATTTAAGGTTCAAACCTTAGTTTGATTCCTTGTTGCGACAAATTTGATTTCATCACATGAAACAAATGAACGTATCCTCAAAGTTTTCCTCATTCTTCAACAATCCCCAAAACTATTTCCCTTCCTTTAAATCTTCACCCTTCTTCTCAACTACTACACAAAACCCAACACCACACATTCTCACAAAATGCATTGCTCTCTTACAATACTGCGCCTCCTCCAAACACAAACTAAAACAAATCCATGCATTTTCCATAAGACACAGTGTCCCACTCAACAACCCCGACATGGGAAAGTACCTTATTTTCACAAGTGTTTCACTCTCCGCACCCATGTCTTACGCTCACAACGTTTTCAAACTGTTACATTATCCAAATGTGTTTACTTGGAACACCATGATTAGGGGTTACGCTGAAAGTGATAACTCATCTCCTGCACTTCCATTTTACCGTAAAATGTTGGTTTCAGAAGTTGAACCTGATACTCACACTTACCCTTTTCTTCTTAAGGCTATTTCCAAGTCATTGAATGTTAGAGAAGGGGAAATGATTCATTCGGTTACTGTAAGAAATGGGTTTGAATCGTTGATTTTTGTTAGGAATAGTTTGCTTCATATATATGCTGCTTGTGGTGACGCTGAAAGTGCACACAAGGTGTTTGTGTCAATGGATGAAAGAGATTTGGTTGCTTGGAATTCTGTGATTAATGGGTTTGCTCTTAATGGAAGGCCTAATGAAGCTTTGACTTTGTTTAGGGAAATGAGTTTGGAAGGCGTGGAGCCTGATGGGTTCACTGTGGTTAGTTTGTTGTCTGCTTGTGCTGAGCTTGGAGCTCTGGAGTTAGGACGTAGGGTTCATGTGTATTTGTTGAAGGTTGGGTTGACACAGAATATGCATGTGAATAATTCATTGTTGGACTTTTATGCAAAATGTGGGAGCATAAGAGAGGCGCAACAAGTGTTTAGTGAGATGAGTGAGAGGAATGTGGTTTCTTGGACTTCTTTGATTGTTGGTTTGGCTGTTAATGGGTTTGGTGAGGAAGCACTTGAGCTTTTCAGAGAAATGGAAAGGCAAGAGTTTGTGCCTGGTGAGATTACTTTTGTTGGTGTCTTGTATGCTTGCAGCCATTGTGGGATGTTGGATGAAGGGTTCGATTATTTTAGAAGGATGAAAGAGGATTATGATATTATGCCAAGGATAGAACATTATGGTTGTATGGTGGATCTGTTGAGTAGGGCTGGTTTAGTGAAACGAGCTTATGAATATATTCAGAATATGCCATTGCAGCCAAATGCTGTTATTTGGAGGACCTTATTAGGGGCTTGTACAATACATGGAGATTTGGGTTTGGGAGAGATAGCAAGATCTCACCTCTTGAAGTTAGAGCCTAAACACAGTGGGGATTATGTGCTTCTCTCAAATCTTTATGCCTCTGAACGTCGGTGGTCTGATGTACAGACAGTGAGGAGGTCAATGATAGAGGACGGAGTTTGGAAAACGCCTGGCTATAGTCTTGTTGAATTGGGAAACCGCGTTTTTGAATTTACCATGGGGGATAGGTCTCATCCTCGGAGTCAGGACGTGTATGCTCTGCTAGAGAAGATCACAGAATTGTTGAAGTTAGAAGGTTATGTGCCTCATACCGCAAATGTGCTTGCAGACATAGAGGAAGAGGAGAAGGAACAAGCTTTGTCTTATCATAGTGAAAAAGTTGCAATTGCTTTTATGCTGTTGAATACAGCCCCAGGGACTCCAATCAGGGTCATGAAGAATTTAAGAGTCTGCGCAGATTGTCATATGGCTATCAAACTCATATCAAAGGTTTATAATAGAGAGATTGTTATCAGGGATCGTAGTCGGTTTCACCATTTTAGAGGTGGTTTATGTTCCTGTAAAGACTACTGGTAATGACATCTTGTGAGTACAATGCTGTATTAATTTTGAGGTAAGACTTCGTGATTAGATATGAAGGCAGTGAGACATGGCTGAAGATTTTGCTAACTTGCAGTCATTCTCAGTAAATACTTTCTACTGTAGGAAAGCCCCTTTCTCCTCCCATGCATAAGTTACTTCACATCAAAAGATGTTGCATGTCACATTCAAACAAATTATTTTATGCTTCAGTATCAATGACATGTGTCGCTGTTTATCTCTGGTTCGGTAAATAACGCTGGTCTCTTAACAAAAGTTTATTGGCGAGATCGACCATGAAATCTTAGTACAAAGTTAGTTTTCGAGTGTTTTCACAAAGTGTGTTTAAAAGTGATTCGTTCGACTAGTGTCAAACGGGTTTATAAGCAATAAAGCAAGACTTGTAAAATAAAACGAAAAGCGTTTTAAACTGTAAATATAAATGACATAAGATCAAAATAGTTGAAAATAAGTTTATTCAAACATACATTGCCCTAACTTGACTCATTTCGCTCGTTCGTTTGGATACTCTAAGCGACTAGCGTATAGGAATGTGAAAGTTTGAACCTTTAACACTATGCACTAAGTGCTTTATTTATAATACACAAAACGCTTCAGGCGCCATATTTGAAACATTTCCAGCCTCTAAGGCCAAATTTATCATGTTTTCAACCATATAGGCCAAAATCCTTGCTAGAGCATTCGACTCAGGCATCATCATGAGTTTTCTCTTCCCACCCAGTGGGTTCAAACTCTCCTTCTGTAGTTGGATATGTATCCAATTTTTCTTGGTCCCAAATGAAACCATGAGTGGGGTGTAAGGTTAGAAACTTGATTACATCAGGATACGACTTAAACACTGCATCTTCAGGATCGCACTGAGGTATGGTAGCTAATGCTTTGTCAAAATTCTTCCTATTGACCACATTCACATCAGTAGTAAAATAATTGTGGTATGTCTCAATATTCTCCACAATCCCATCTTGACGCCATATGGATAAGCGTTGATGCAAAGTTGATGGTACTTCCCCAATGCCATGTATCCACTCACGCCCTAGCAACAAATTATAGTTTGCTTTAGACCCAATCACCATAAACAATATTGGCCTTGAAGTCGAGCCAACAGACAAATTCACTTGAATCACACCCAATATTTGACTTGTTTTTCCTTCGTAGTTCGACAAAATCATATTATGTGGTTTGAGGTCAGTGTCGAACTTGCCAATCCTTTTCAACAATGATTGTGGCATCAAGTTCACAG